TCCCGCTCTTCTCCTCGACACTTCATTTTTTACTTCTTTTTTTTTTTTTAATATCAGCCAACACTGAAAAATGTAAACTGAAGTGACACTTAGAAAACATCGGAAAGACAAAATCCATTTTTAGAGGGTTAATCGATGTAAATAAGAAGCTTCTTGAGAGAAAACATCATCTGTCACATCATTGGTGAGCAAGAACTTATTCTTTCCCCAGATGCTTTAGGATGGGTCTACCACCTCCCCTCCTTCCTCATGGGGAAAAAGCAAGAGATTTGTCAGCCCCCAGCTCGTAATATCACTTTATATTTCCCATCCCATAACACTTGTATGCTACTCAACAGAATGATGTATTAGCAGTATGCCACAAGCTGATAGTTGCATTGAATTTATGTAAGCAGGGGCAGCCTGCAGCCACCCACAGTTTATTCATGGTATGTTTATGTCACAGCCTGGAATTGTACCCTACTATCAAATTACATAGCAATTTCTGGAGTCTTTATGGGATACAACTGCAGGTATTAGCTAAGATGCCACCGACTGAATTTTGTAAATCAACTTTTGGCTATGCAGTGCATTTTGGCCACTTCAATAAAAAGTCAAATATCACCAATTCTAAAGAACAAGATACACACAGGAGATGAAGGTATCGGTGCTTCTCCTGGAGACATTATTAAACTGTAGGAATTTTGCCCGCACAATATGTTATGGAATCCACTAGAAAAGTTCATGCCAACATCAGTTGGTCTCATCCATGCTAAGGAAAATAGAGGTCAATGCAGCAAATTGAGGTTCCTTTTTGTGAAGTCTTGAAAATGAGACCGAAGACAAGAGAAAGGAGTTTCCTCCCTGAAGGAAGACTTGAAATAACATGGAAATCCTTGCTGCTTGGCTACAGCAATAAGCCCATACATAAGCGGAGACCTGACATACAAGGTGTTGACCTGGAGATGGCTTCAGGCAAGCATGAAGTCCATGTGTACAGCGTGGGAAAAAGAAGAAACTGCTTTTTAATCTTCAAATACTTGTGTTACAGATACATTAAAGTGATGCTGACTGCAACGCACTCCAGTAATGAAAGCAATCTCCCATTCATAACAGGGAAATCTTAAAAGATTTCTTAAGCAGGAGCAAGGAGATTGTCATGCAGAAGGAAGAGCATTTCAACCACTACCGTAAAGCCCAGAGATGTCCAACAGGCACTCAACCAAAGTCTGAATTAACAATTTGACAGGAACCAAAGGGCAGCAAATGATTTGCTTAAGTTAGAGCAGACAGTAGGTGCCTTCATCTTTGACAGGAGGCACAGCGTAGCTCAGCAAGATTACAGACTTTAGCATGCAGAGTTCTACTTGATATAAGCGCAAGGCCATTTAGGTCACACTGGAGCATAATATGCTGAATGCTATAGGCTCCACAGGATGTACTTTAACTGTACAAAAGGTGAAAGCACTTATGGGCTGTAATGTAGAATTTTATGGGCTGCTATGTGGACCTAGCTGCTAATAACCTTCTTTGCTCTAATAATGCATGCAAAAATACATGTGCTGCCTCCAGGCACATTGCTTCCCAGCACTGTGATTTCAGAAGGGGAAAAAAAATGCAATCCTCCTGTCCATTTCTCTTTTTATAGAATACTGCTCTCACCATGAGATCATTCTCTCAAAAACAAGGTAGTAACATTAAATTAGGCTGAGCAACATATCACAGAAAGGGCAAGCTTTGTGGTTTTAGTCTAAAACCAGGATTACTATTTTCCTTGATAACTGAGAACTAACCTTTCACTTTCTATCTTGATTACCACTGACCTTTGCAGTAGTAAAATGCTCCACCAAACATTTTCAAGAGATAACAGGAGACCTTCACAGCAGAGCAGGACACTATGTGCAAGAGGTGCTTAAAAGAAAGGCAGAGAGAGGGGCAGTCTGTCTCAGTAGAATCAAGTCACAAAGCACCAACCACAGCCAGTCTCTAGCAGGGAGCAAACTCACATTGTAGAAGTTGCAGGCCAACACAAAAAACAGGATTCTGCTTAAGAAAAGCTTATATTAACATAGCAGGCAGGGTAGGACAAGACAGTGCACCAAGGAAGACTGCCTGTCATAGCAGAGAACACAAGCGCTGCTATCCAGTACTGCAAGTATCAGGTAACAGGATCAAAAGAAGAAAACTGAAGTGGAGGAAGGTAAGTCCCACAAGCTAAACATGAAAACAAAATAAAAGACACTAGAAGACCGTAGGCAATATAACACATCAAAGTTATACAACACATTCATTTCACAAACAACGAGATTTCATCTCCATAGTCAGCCAATCCACAGAAGGTATGCACCCTCACCCCCAGCAAAATTAATAAGAAACTGAAGATTGCACAAAAATTGCATGCTCTTAAACATTTACACAGAGGACAGTTCCAAATGTTTAGTGGGTGGTGTCCGTGGCTTCTTAAGACCCTTTAACGCATTGATCTGTTTGTCTCACTGACAAACCACAAAGGCAGGGACCAGGACAAACCTGCACATTCTGCCTCCCACCCCTAGTCTTTCCCTCATGGCTTCTTATTCCACACTGGCCAAAAAAATTTTGTAAAGCATCCCTGGGTCACGAGACCTGCAGATGAAACAGAAAAATAAAGTTAGAAGACTACAATCTGCCAGGACTAAATAGGCACCGTGACATTATTTTTTGGATGATTTATCTGAAAACGCAGTATTAAGTAGTATAGAAAAGAAGCCTATAGGGACAGAACGGTAACCAAATTCCTGTTTCCATCCAAAGAACAGAGTGCTAAGTAACTAAAAACTTGCTCTTCTCCCCCATACACTGTTTGCACAAAGAAGTTCTCTTTACCATGCAGTACAGAAAAACAAAAACATCCTCTAGCATAGTCCAATAGTCACTAAATGCAACGTACTAAGCCACCAAAAACACCTCAGTTCTGCAAAGTGCAGTGGTTTCCAAGAGCATCACAATAAATAGATTTGACTATGAAATTGATTTGTAACGTGCCTCAATCTCAAACAGACCACTTGGTTGACAGAGATTACATTTAGGAGAATTAATATACTTCATATCCATGTTAACAAAGGGACAATGATGATTACAGTTTGCTGATACAGTTTATCAGATGCCAGCTGAACCTTTCTATCCAAAGCTTCCTTCTTCTCTACGGATGCTCTATTTTCTTCTAGGTTTGCATCCAAAGCCCAATCTTCTCCTTTCTAAGATTCTGTCACAAAATACAATCATTGCCAAATGAACGTCAGTGTAATTAACAGCCCTATGAATTACTTGACCATCATATCCAGTTACATGCATGTATTTATTTACTGAAACTAGGTGATTATTAATCACTTTTTTAATTGCCTCAACTGTTCTGCTGCTGAAAAGAGGGAAGGTATTGGTGGGAGGGGGAAGAAGGGAACGGAGTCCTATTTTCCAACTGTAAAGCAGAAGGGAGAATTCTAAAGCAATAATTATTTTTTCAAACCAGTTACAGCTGAATCCAGTTTATCCAAGAGAAAATATTTGCATTTTTAGGAACACAGAAAAGATCTGTCATTTAGGACATAAGAATCCCTCTGACATGAGGAGTAAAGTCTAGATTGTTAGTAGCCTTGAGATAGGTTTTTCTGGCAAGGTGCTTGAAAGGACAAACATCTCTGTTTCAGGGCCTGGCACACCCTCTAACAACCAATTGATGAGAAACTGCCTTCCCCTCTCACACAATCTGTAAAACCTCCCCATCCCAAATTCTCTTTCTGAACTTAAGACTGCTAATTGAAAACAGTATATGAAAATGAGAAGGTTGATGAGCTACTGAAAAATCCCAGACCTGTATCGACAAGCTGTTCCCTTCATAAATAGCAGCAGTAAAGGCACTTCTTTATTCTGCTGGGAGCTCAGTCATCTCTTAGAACTATAGTCCGTTCCATCTGGCTACCCTCTGGAAGGACAATGATCTTTTAGGTTAAGCCGCACTATAATGAGGAACGTGTAATTAACTGTTCTACACAGTATCACAAAAGGTCAAAATCGGAAAGGATGAAAAGCCCTGTCTTCATATTCGCAGATGGCCCAGCAGCAGCTTTATTTGCATTTCTAAACACTGTTCAAGACACATACAGTAGATCTCTACATAATAAATGCCTAAAGAATGCAGGTATGTACACAGTTAAAAGAGAAGTAAGCAAACTCCTAATGGCTGCCTAGTGCTGTGCGTGCCAGGGGAAGTGTGGGAATAAATGGTGTGGGAAACGCAAAGCAGCCCAGTAATGCAGAAAGACTGGTATTTCTTTGTTGATTTGTTTTTCTACTCAGTTCCCTATTACAGTTTTCTAAGTGGTTAAACAGAAGCAAAAATACAGAATCGTGAGCTCAGTAATAATCTATGCATAAGCCACATGATCATTTAAGTCTCAGCAAATGCTACGTATAGCCTGAACCACACGTCAGTGCTTCATTTACATGTAAACCTTCATAACCAGAAGAGCTTGACTACAGGTGCTACAGAGTAGGTAGCTGAAGTGTATTTTCAGTTTATAGTAGAAATGAGTTCACCTGTAACCTCTTGAGACAAAATTTCTCTATGACCACCAGATTCTCCATTTAATGCAGAATCTTTCAGATTTACTTCACTCAATAAAGGAACCTTCTTCTAAATTAGTCACCCTGTCGCTAGAATGTAAATAATTGTTCTTCCTATTTTTACACCATTCTGTCAGTACTTTTATTCACCTTACACAAACACAATGATTAATAGGACAAACAGCTATTTATGTCTTTATAAAAAAGATCTTGGAGGCAAGAGGAATTTCAGAACCCTTTAATGCTGTTGGATATTTTCAACCCCATTTGGCTTTCATTAAGTCAACCTGCTCCTGTGGCTTTGAGGAAGAAAACATTTTGATTGTACAATATAGCGATCAGCACAAGAATCGGTGTCAGAACAAGTGCCAGAGGTAGAGAGTAGATGCCAAACAAAAGCAGCCCAAGAGCGAGCACTTACCCAGTCACTAGCGCTCAAGTCTGTTTACCACATCTCGGACTGTGGCTATAAGGTTCTCGTTCTCCTGTGGGTTAGCCATAATAATATTGTGCAGCCTATTCATGTAGGAATCAATAGTTTCCATCGTGGGTGTTTCCCCGCTACCTATAGTTAACATAGTAAAATGAACCACAGAATATTTAGATGACTGCAGCGATTCCAAAAAGCTAAGACTATGCTAAGGGCAGCTTGTGCCGACATGCAAGCTGCTATTTTGCCACCATCTCTTGTGACAGATTCAGTAAAACAGTGTCCTCCTAACTCCACAAAGTGACTAGTTCCACGGGTATCAGGACTAATGAAGCATGGTTTTCTTTGATTTGGGTCTCATTGTTGATTGTAACTCTTTCAGCGGGGCATTCATAGTATCCAAGTGGATTCCCTGGCATCTATCAATACAGATGCAGCCTTTCTTTTGACCAAGGAACTTGCAGGTCCTATCTTTTCTATTTCGTAACATTTTCACAAAAGAAGTGAAGGAGAGCAAGCACTGAAGATGTGTCTCACTTTATTAGCAAGAGAAGAGTAAGAGCGGTAAGAAAAAAATGCCATGTTGAAATAAAGCACTGAGACTGAACCATTTTAAGATTTCCAGATCTAATACAACAAAAGCTCAGAAACAGCCAAAATCAAACTACAAAAAACAAAACAAAACTACAACAGCAGGCCACATGTTGTAAACTTACAACATTGTGATAACACTATAATTAACATGTCAGACAGTCATGGGGGGGGGGGGGGGGGGGGGGGGGGGGGGAAGTCTTACCTGGTAGCGGGACTCCAGCAAAGCTGGTTGTGAGCGCTTGGCGTAAAGTCTCTAGATGCTGTTGCAGCACTGTGTTGCGGCTCCGCTCTTGTATCACATCCACCTCCAATTTCTCCACCGCGGTACGCATACTCTCAACGTGTTTCTGCAGAGCAGCATTCCTCTCCTCAAACTCCATGTTGGATTTACGCAGCTGCCGCAGCTCAGCTTCACGAGCTGTGAATATCAACCCATTCCCATGTAGTCAAAAAGCTACAAAAAACCCTATCTATGGTTGGTATGCAATGAAGCAGAAGGTTCTAGAGTGCTCAACTCATGGTTACAAATGTTACAGTTTTGGTTGATAGATGAAAAAGCCTCATATCATGGAGCGCCGATAATACTCACAATAGTACTTAGCCTTAATTTCTACAGAGATTGACAAATTAGAAGACATTCAAAGCATCAGTATGAAACTGAATGGGGGAATTTATTAGGAAAGAAGACTGCAAGGCTGATTTCAAATGCATTCAGTATGACATAGCTTAGCAGCAGTGGTAAGAGGCCTACAGACAAGATACCAGTTCCAAAAATAAATTTCTACTGACTGTCAGGAAAAGTATCTGAATCTGAAGTCTATTCAGTCAAGAAAGTCTCCAGGAAATCCTGCAAAAAATCCTAAACTCTTGGGACATGCAACTACAAAAACCAAATAAAGTAACAGTATCAGTGGAATCTTCAACATAGCAGTATTTTAATTTTCCCCTCCTGGATAACTAGCCTGAATCAGCATGATGCTGTATCTTAAGCATTTCTTAATCCTATAAAACAGCAGATCCACAGCTTGGATTGGCTGGAATAACAGCAAGTAGAGCTTAAACATCAGAAACATCCTCCAAAAAGGATAGTTTTGGAAGACAAAGCCAGGAAAAACTGCTGTTGCAGCCACCGTGTTCTTACAGAGATAAGGTAATATCAGAAACACTGACACCCAAGTCATTACTTGAGCTGAGATGGGAGAGTGCAAGGGCTCCAGCTGGATAGCACCTGGCAAAAACTTCGGAAAAGCAAAGAAGGGGCCCTTACCTTTACTATGATTCAAGAACTCTTCTGTGAAGATTGGAATATCAAAAACAGATCTCTCCTTTGTATCTGCTTCCTTCTACAAAAGAAAGAGTAACGCATAGCTAAATACTGCTCATTTTCAGGAACTGATGAAATTGTTTCAATCAAGATAATACAGAGAGAAGGGAGACCAAAAACTGAGACAGATAAAGAGCTGGCTGGATGGAAGACACTTACAGCTCCTACCAAGAAAGGCCAAAAGGTAGGTGTCAGCTTTTTAAGATACAGGTTTAATAAAGGCCAAATACCATTATCAAGAAATATCATCTAGAATACTAAAATACACCCTTTGGCCCTAATGACATTACACATCAGAATCAGTTTTAAAAGCTATGTGAATTCATTTGTATTCTGCACTGGAACGCATTCCACCATCAACCAACTGACACATTCTGAAACACCCTATACAGGAATACCAACAAACAGGAGATAAAGCGAGCAAAAGGCACAGTAAGTTTTGCGGTTCTTTGTCTTTCACTACCAAAGCGAAAAAGAAAACAGTCAAGAAAACAAACAGCTAAAGGAAAAATATGCAACTTTTCCACAGTGTACCAATTCCACATGTCTGTTCCAAACCAGAAGAGATGTGCATTTTGGCTCCAAAAGAAATGGGAGCTGCACGGTGCTTCAAGCAAGCCGTATCTTTTTTTAAAACACTTAAATGGATTCTGCCAGTAATGAAAAGAAAGTGTATAAACACGATTTGTAACAATCTACAGGGAAAACGTGCTTACAGAATACGCAGTATCTTGGAAGGGTAAAGGTGAATACGTATAAGCATATTTTGCTGTTAGAAAGCTGACACCCCAGCTATACAGGTACGCATTGATGTGAGGAGGGCTTCAAGGAATTGGACTGTTGTCTCCTGCACAGCGCAAAACCAAACACTGCAAAATTTTTTCGCTTTATGACACAAGAGAAGTTTGTCATCTTAAGATAAAGCCTGTAGTCAAGGGTTTCCTGTCTACTTGCAGATCTCGCCTAATTTCTGATAAAGTTGGCGAATTCAACTACGTGAGAACTTGACGCTATTAAAATCTAAGACAGCATTTCGGGTTCAGAAGACACAATGCCAATTTGTGGTTTGTGACTATCGTAGGCTTTCTTTAAAAAAAACTTTCAAAGCAGGAAATGCTCTATAATTTAGTCTAAAAACCTAAAAACCTTAATTTGACTCAAGGAGAAAAGCTACTGTGATACTTCAGTCACCATTTCTGTATGTAAAAATCAATGGGAATTAATGCTTGCTTTAAAGCCTGCATTGGTATTGACAAAGCCAATGCAAATTTGGTTTGATAAACTGCAGCAACTACAATCAATCTGTTACTTAATATAGAAACAAAGCTAAGCACAAGAGAATCTCTGCGGAGAACAAAAGCTTTTCAAACCTCTCAGACACCTCAGTTGCTAATGTACCACAAATTCATGCTCCAAAATTACATAGTGTCAAGCATGATTTGGTGCCCAGCAGAAAGTCTACATGTTTAACAGCTGATAAGGGAATTCTGGCACCTGAGCTCAGAGGATCATATTGGTGCCTGCCACGTAAAGGGGCTAGATGGGGTAATCTGAAAGCCACTGGGCAGTGAACCAAGATAAACAAGACTAGACGGAACTTTAGATACTCTGTCTTTACCTGAGAAGACTGTCAATTGATTGTTTTTAAAGTAAAAGACAGGCTGAGTTTTACTGTCTGGTAGAGTTACAGCTGGAAAGCTCTCTATTTGCTGAATGAGAACTCAAAGCTCACTTGGCCCGAATCAACTGAAGATGCGCTAAAAACAGGCGGGACAAACCTTTCCCAGCTCTGAGACACAACAGGGTGTCGCTAGGGGTTCATGATCACACCTGCTCTTCACTGAAGTTTTGACAGGGAAAAAGTCTGAGGAGTATGTATTTAGAAATGAGAAGTCATGTACAGAAGTGTGCATAATGCATTCATTTTGTCTGAACACTCTCTAGATGGCTAGGAATTAATACCACCCCAAAATCTACGATCTCAACATTAATGTGCACTAAGAAACATTGGCAGTTATGACGCTTCGTTGAAACTTATAGGACATCCATCTTAGATGTTCTAACTCATGCTTACTATTGCTACCTGCGTGCAAAGGGGCACTAGCTTGGATCATTGTTGGCTCCTGGAGAATAGATGGTGGAGGAGGGGGTACTGTGAAGAGGAGAGGGTATTTTATTCGCAGTCCTAGGACACAGGTTCCTCAGGTAAAACGAACAAACAAAAAAAACCATTAAAGCAGTTAGATGAAACTGTTCAGCTTCTGAAAGGCAACCAAGAAACTCTACTAAACAGAAGAGTGATAATGAAAACCAGCAGCACTCTTCCATTACAGAATACACTACCCAGCCCATAAAAGATCCACTTGAGAGCTCTGAAGTACTTAAGCCACTCTGAGGCTCACTCAGGATTAAAATCGTATGGTTTTGATTACTTCCTATTGAAAAGGCCCAGTCTATTCAGGTTGCGTATCATTTTGTCATCCCGCAAATCGTAAGAGAACCAAAATTATTGTTTCTATCATTTGAATTAAATAAGATTAAGATGCTTCCAGAGTATCAACAAATAATACCATTCTCAGCTGGTTATTAAAACTGAGGTTGATCTTTGGAGGTTCCAGAACAAATCAGACTTGATGTTCTCAGAAATACGGTGAAGTATGGCAGAGAAAGCTGAGATTTTGTCAGGGGTTAAGCTCATCCTTCCTTGTATGGTCAGGTGCAGATAATGGAAGGAACAGGTAAAATAAATATACTAGTTCATAAAAAAAAAAAAAAAATCTTCGAGTAGATGGTTTTCTTCTTCCATGCTCTTACTACAGCAGCCATTTCCCTATCTTCAAAGGTTGTAGATACCACCAGGCAATGCCTCATCTCCCTGATGTACGTGTAAATCTTTGAAATCTTGCCAGCAAGATACTGTGTAACTGACTGCACGAAGCTAGACCTACTCTGAATCAAACAGCTTGAGGAAAGAGGCAATAACAGAACAATGGAGAACAGTTAACAATGGTTTGGTCACTGCTGCTGACAACGTTCTAGTGTATATTGCTATATGTCATATTTATGAAACAAGGATTTTGAGGAAGACAAATGTTCTATTTCATGCCCACAGATGAGCTCATTGAGACAGTGTGTCCATGTTTTTCATGGCTATATCTGCCTATTGAAAGTTTCCTTTCGGCTTCCCAAGCCCCATCCTTGTGTCATTTTTTTATTATAATTAGTATTTCAATTGTTCATTGCAATACTTTTTGGTGGTCATCTCTAGATACAACGTTTAAAATTAGTTCAACACTGATTCACAGAAACTCACTCATGAACACCTAAGTGGAGTGAGGGGAGAAGGAAAGGTTTCTTTGACCTTATGTTCTTATATTGTCTCAAGAAATAATCTTATCAGATTGTGCCTACTTATCACAAACAATAATAATAGTCAATCTGGATAAGAGAAAGCAGCAAGACAACAAAAAGCTTTAGCCTTGCTTCCAGTAACAACTTGAGTATATACTCCTACAAACAACCCAAATCTTTCCTGCTTGTTCCTTGCCTGCGCAGGATTATAATATTTGACTCCCTTGCAGAAAAGATGTGAAAGCGTATCAGGTGATAAACATGTGGAATTTTATAACATAAAGGTCAAAAATGCTACGCAGTCAAAGGCATAGGCTCTCAGATGAGGATGCCTGCCTAACATGTTCCTAGCTCCACTGTGTAATAACTATCTGATGAAGTTTAAATGCCCCACAGGATATGGAGGACTCCTTTTTAACCGCATTTGACATGAGATTTCAGCAGCGATAGCTTGAGTTAGAAGGATGAGAGGCAAGACCCTGAATTGGTAGTTTGCCACCCGTATAATTCAAAGGTTATGCAAATGTCAGTCAACCTAGAACTTGAAGCTTTCAGTAACCTGTTTTTGTACAATTAACAACAAATACAGATTCAGCAACTATAGAATCACAAATCTTGTGGACCATGTACTTCTAAAGATTAATCTTACTGCAAGTACCTCCTTTAAAAGTTAGTAAAAAGACATATTGAAAACATGCTACAAAAGTATTTTCCTGGAAGTGAAACTTTCTTTCCCTAAAGTAGACAAGACCAGTAGTTGCCTCTACGCAGCGCACAGCCTTGTCACTATTGTAACAAACACATTAAAAAGCAACTTGATTGTTTTCCCAAGGCAAAAAAACCTCACAGTGAAAAATGATCTCTCAGAGAGGCCGATTGCTTACAACTGAAGAGGCTGTGTATAAACAAGATTTTTCAATGCTTTTTGTTTGCAATGTATTGGTAACCAGGAAAGCAGCTCTGTGGCCCTAGGTAATACAACCGGAAAGAGAAAGTTTCGGCACAAGATTTGGCATAAGTCTCACCAACGAAAGCATAGGCATCTTATCTCCAGACATTATGATTCTTTTCCAATATTTACATATGCAAAGGTGGGGAGGGGGGGGCAGGAGGAGGTTTAAGCCAGAGATCTCCCAATGACTTTGTTACTTTACTCCTTTTCTTCTCAAGGGAGCCACAAGCACTTGCATGGCTGCAGAAAATCAGTACCTCCAAACAGCAACCTAAAGGTGCTAACTTGAAAGATTTAGCTAGGACTCAAGCTATTTATAAGTTTTACCTTGATGTTTACTTACCAAATAATAATTAAAATTCTCTGCTTTGAAAAATTTCAAAGGAAAAATTTTGCAAGTTGAACCTCTAACACACCAGATACTTAAAGGCTCAATTATACTGACTTGCACCCATTCATTTATTTAACATTACAAAACAGATCTGAATTTTAAGTATACCCTATACTCCTACTTTACCTTAGATCATTTGTACCTGCCCAAGACTTACTAAATTTAGTTTTCATCATACTAGTGTCAGCGTAAAGAGTACTCTGTTGTTTCTAACTTCTGATCAAAAACTGCATAGGAAGAAGAAGAATTCATACGCTAAACCTCTGATTAGGGTCTTCAACTAGCATAAACTGTTTTTTATTGACTTCACTAGATACTTTGATCATCTGAAATTCTACCCACTGATGTAAGGGTAGAATGAAGAGGTTTACCTCATGATCATGGGCTGGCTGTCTTGCTCCATCTGAAAAAGACAAAAACAAATAAGAAATCCCCCAGAATACATAAGATTTGTGGAAACAAGAACCAAAGAATTAAAGCAGTTACACAGCCATAATTACACAACAGTTACAGACAGAAAACTAGTGCAGCTTTCCTAATAAGTCACATAGAAGCTATGTCTAACCGATGCTTTTCATGCATATCCTCCAATTCAATCTAGAAACAGTTAAATCTACATAAATCTACTCACTTCACACACAGCTGATGCAAATGCCATAGAAAGAACACATTCACTTTTTAACAAGCCTTTAAATCAAAGGCTTTAACTGAGCATCAGGCTACATGACTAGCTGGGAACCTTCTGTTGTTCCAGCCAGGCACGCAGAACAATTTTTTTTGTCCCATTCAATACCTTGTCTGTGTGATTTTCCTTTTTGTCTGTCCTGTGCTTTCCTGCTAAAGACTTTGTAGGCTTCAGTCTTCTGATACTGCTCCAGCTCCCGCATATAACGCTCCTTATCTCTATCTGCTTCATCAAGGTATCGCTGAAACAAAAAAGTCCAAGAGTTTCAGGGAGTTTCCTCCCCTTCAGGAGGAAGGGAAGAAAAACAACTTGTCAGATGAAGTGCTGATCCATTTCACCTATGCAAACAGGAAAGGAGTGAAGAAACAATGAGAATGTATGTGAGATGCAAAGACATAAGATTTCTGGATAAAATACTGTATTCTGGTGTCCTTTTTCTCTCTCTTTTTTTTTTTTTTTTTTTAGCCAAATCACTACTCTGTTAACTCTTTTTTGTTAGACCTAGAGGTAGCCTGCTACTAAGCTACTCAACTCAACTGAATATCACCTATACATTATAGAACAAATACTGAAGAAATGCCTTTCTGTGTCTGGGATTAGATGCTGCCAAACAAGAACAGATCATGCTTCAAGGTTCATATCTGTAACGGCGGGGTTCCAATACACTCTTGTTTTCATGCCCCACAGACGAAAAGCACTACCAGTCTATGACCACACACTTTGCCCATCTGAGAGGTGAACAAAACATCATGTTATCGCAAAAGAGTAGCATAAAGATAAGAGAGCCTAGAAGGTCATATCAATTTAAGCTATCTGCATTTAGGTTAAAAGAAATAATTTTTTCTTCTAGCCTGAAGATATTTCACACATCTGCATAATGAAATGAGCTTAACTGGAGAATTCTTTAAGGGAACTGATGAACTGAAAACCATTTAAGAAGTGGTTACAACACTTACTAATGGGATCCTTTCAAGAAAAAAGTCGCCTTCTCAATTTTTTTCTCCCAATGAGCTTAAAATTCAATGGAAGTATTAAATCAGAGTGAACCTTAGTCACCTGGTATGCCTTTTATTTTCATTAAGTCATCACGACAATGGTTATAACTTCCATGCATTTGCAACATTGTTTTGACCCAACATTCTTTGACTGTTAATGTTCTGGACTGGGGTGCAAATTTGGCAATGCTGGGTCTTGGACTGCTTTTGGACATTGTATTCCTCCATAAGACATTAGCTCTTCTTTTCCATCTCCAGCAATGTGCTGCTGAAAGAGCGCAGTAACTGAGTTAAAAGCAACAAGTCTTTCTTCCTTAACTTGTGTTTTGGATGGACTGTTTTGAATCAGTAAGAATGAGTTCTGTGGCACTAGGTATAAGTAGATGCCCTTGGTTTTCTAGAACAGATCTATACATCTCATGAGGTATTTCCCTAAATGAGAAGAATGAGTATTAGGGTGTTCACTTTATGACAATAGTAATGGTCTTTTTCTGGGGGAGACTCACTATTTGGTCAGTCCAATCAGCTCAATTGACCTCTACCTCTCCAAATACAAAGGGAAGTTGCAAGACTACAGGGCTAGAACAGGGGAAATGCAAGACTTTCCCTCAACTTTCATATCAGACAGCTAGTTTGCTAATTGCTGGAGATCAGCCATTAGAGCAGAATGTCAGGCATGCTTTCCTCTGGATTATGGGACACTAAGCAGCACAGCAGTAGTATAGTAAGAGACCAGATGTTTATATACATGAGTTTGTAAAATAAACGGAACTGCAAAATCCTTCAAGCAGCTCTGAAATTCCACAGAATTCTGCTCAGCCACAGTGAATAAATGCCTGCCCCATCCTTCAATGGCTTTGGCCTTGCAAACTGGTAGGTCTCAGCTGTACCTGAGTTAGGTACAACAGAGATACATCCAGATGAATCTCATAAACCATGGGATGTCGCACTAGAGCGCTCCCTCCGTTCTGTATATGTTCTTGCTCTATCTAGAAGACACAGTTCTTCAAGTCACACCTGGATAAGATGCTATGGCCCTACCAGGGTTCCTTATTTGAACTCTGGAAGACCCATGCCCCTTGTTTTGAAATATATTCCTAAGCACAACTTTAATCAAAAGGCTATGTTAACTTCCTCACTAAAAAAACAACATTCCCATTAAACAGTAATCATAATCCAACAAGGAAAAGGGAGTTTAATGGTACCCGTTTCTCCTCAGGAGGCAGTTTACTCCATTCATTGCCCAGCATCCTGGTGATCTCTGGGAAAGGGACTTCAGGCCTCTTCGCTCGAAGCTGCTCCCTACGCTCATTCATGAATCGCACATACCCTGTGAGGGGGGATTTTGGGGCATTGGTGTCCCTAAGGGGTTTCTTCCTCTTTCTCCCTTTGGCCCAGCCTCCTCGTTTAGTTCTTTGCTGCTGCAAAATGAAAATGGAAGAAAATTCAGATTGAAGGAAAAGAATTACCACCTCTGGAAGGAATAAATATTCATGTCTCAAACATTTTCATCAGGAGTATGTTGCTGCAATACATATTCTCCATGGGGGGAAGTCTCAAACCTTGCTTTAGATCAATCCTGACTTTCCTCTAAGCAAAGTCAAAGAGGTCTCACTGTGAAGAGTTGTTTGTAGTATCTCCTGGTCCACAGGGACAATAAAATAACATTTGCATCAACTTCTGACTGTAAAACCACGAGGGCTGATAACCCATGAAATTATCACTCTCGCTAATGCAACTGCATTTTTTGTTAGTTGCTTGTTTGGTGGTTTGTTTTTTTTTTTTTTAAATTATTCTCACCCTCACATACCTTCTTCCCCTGTCATTTGCCTCAATATCATGTCTGGAGAAATTCTGTGTATTAATTAATAATATTAACTAGTTGTTTTGCCCCTTCCAAATTTTTCACCTTCATGCATTATGTGCACAAAATGTGAGTATATATGACAGTACATAGACTTTTCTATTCTAATCTATTCTATAAGCTTTCTTTCCCACTAATCGCCTCCAATAGAGATGAACAAACTCCAAAGGAAGAACACTGTAAGATTTGCCTGTGGTACACTGTGAGCTCACAGGAATGACATAAATACCACTCATCCTCCTGGCTTCATACTACTACTATAGCAGTCTCTGGACAGCACTATTTTCTTATGCTATGTACATACAACTATTTCAGTACTTCTAATCTCTCCCCAAATCAACATGTTCCTGTCATCATGCTAGTTTTAGTTTCCTTTCTGGAATTCTACTACTTCCTAAAACAAGAATCTTGCAGCTGAAGACAAACTACAAAGAGGAATTCATCAAATGCATCTACCAAAAAAAAAAAAAAACCAAAAAACACAAAACCCCAAACCAAAACCACTTTCTGGTAAAACCTCAGTTCCTTTATGATTTAGTCACTGAAAATCAGTGCAGGATGGTACACAAGGTATAGCCTAGACATCAGTTACTCAGTTACTCCCAGAAGAGTACAATGGTCTCACTTTCCTGAATCACAAGAGATAAAATATGTTGTGGCAGTCGAACACTCGGTCTTCAGAAAAAGACCGAATGCTGCAGTCTGTAGACCCTGCTGGCTAAGCTAGAGACACTCGTGCTGTTCTCTGTACATTATGACTGCCAGCTTTCCTTGGCTACCTGCGTGCAGTTGTGCAACACAGGAGAAAACTAGAGAGAATCAATAGATGAAAATGGCAAATGGATGAAAATTCATGATCCTATCCAAAAAAATCCGAGTAGGTAAGACAAACTATAATGACAAAACTCCATGGTCTTACTTCATTGAGAAGTCACTATTATTTCATCTCACCTCCTCCTCAGGCTTCTGCTCAGTGTTTTCAGCAGTACTAGAGGACTCATTTTGCAGCTGCTGACCCTGCGACAAGTCCTCCACCAAATCTGGGTTATTCACAGACTGTGAAGTTCCACCACTGAATGAACTCTCAGAATGAGCTAATCTGAAAAATCACGTAATAGCAAAACAAAAAAATTTAACCATCATATTACTAAATCACTTCCTCCCTAATCTTCTAAAACATGCAGAAACATTGCAAATATATTCTTACACTCACAAGAAAAAAAAGATATTGAAAAGTCATTTTTGAAGACTTGGCTGTTCTATTCAAGCAACTGCTATAACTACCATAGTTACCTTCAAAGACAGTTTGATTTTTAAAGTGTTATTTTGTTTCATTTTGAGTGAAGCTTTTGATTATACAAACAACTGTCAAGCAAGCAAACGTTTGGATCAGAAATTAGAAAGCATGAATTTACACTTTTTCAAAAATACCGTAGGAATTTGAAATGAATGGTCTCATCTTCAACCAATACACACCTTTCTGAATGCATTTAATATATTTCTCCACAAATACATTTAAAGGTTTGTGGTTGCATATGATTTTGGATTGAACTTCATTCAACGTGATCTCCTGTTGATACACATGGGTATTTAAAGCACAAACACAACTAGCTCCCAACAGGCTCCTGAATGGCCACTATTTAATTTTGCTGCAAGTGCTCTATCAATCAACCTTATTCTAAGAAAGGGCGAGTTGTCTGGAGGCAAAAAAAAAAAAAACCCCACCCAAAACCAAGTGTGCAGAAATATTTCTGAAACTAGGTAGACAGAGATGAGCACGTGTTTTGGGGCAACAAACCATAGTTCATTCTCATCACTGCGCTTAGTGGGCAAATTAATACAAGACTTTGGAACTCATCTCGTATTCCAAACCCCTTCCTGAGCCAGGCTAAGCATTACTTGGCCTTGTCCCACTACATTCATGAAAACTAATGTAACAGCAGCATATGCTTCAAGTGTACCTTGTTCATTTCCTCAGACCTACAGCTGCTTACATGCATGCCAAACATTTTAAATACTCAAAATAATTGTTCCTGTTAATATATCTCAGTTTTCTATAGCTGTGTTCTACATTAACAGAATTTTGAGTTGAATGCCTACAGGAAAATTTGTCTTTAAATGAGATAACAGCAACTGGGACATAATTACTGGTAAAGGCACAAGGGCTGGAGAGATCCATGCCTCACTTTCAGGTATCAGATTGAGTTCATATTACTAACAATTAGAGAGGGAGAAAAAGAACAAAGCGTACACACTCCTATAAGTTAATTACATTTGGTACATGTTAAAAAAAAACAGAACAATACAGTTTCTTAGAATCACTGTTATTGTTTGAAGAACATTTCAGCCTTCCGTTACCCTTTAGCAGGGAAGGTTTCTAAACTACACATACAGCAAAAAATTCAATGTCATGTAGCTATTTGCAGTGAAAGCTGATGAAAGCTCATTCAACACATAATCTCTCTTAAACACAAATCTAATTTGAGCATGTACCTCATTTGGCACCAGCAAGTTTGAAGTCCCAGATATGTAAATCCAAATTCAGACCTGCTTGAAGTAAGTGTGCCCATATCCATTTTTACAGGGCTTTACCTACCTGCAAAGTCTGAATTTTATTGCTTGGTGCTTTACAAAACGGAAAAGAACTTGAAGTATCAAAACACAGCAGGAATCCTGTGTATTCCTAAAAGACAACTTCTTTTGTCATTGTGATTTTAAAAGAGGCAAAAGCAGAGACAGTCTGACAAAAAAGCAAGACACCCATTTCTCGGTCATTTTCAGAGATCAGTGATGAACAGTATCTCTCTAACAGAAATAATTTATTTATCAGGGACCGCTGTAGCCAATTGATAGACCCTCCCTCTATGCCCCCATCATGCTGCCTAAATCTATCTTAAAAATGAAAATCCTAGGGATGCAAACTTTTAAAGATAAGAGATGTTAAAGAAAAGTTTGTAACTGTTTCCATCAGTTCAGAAGAGTCTTGGTTTCTCCTAGAGTCCTGTGATGTTCTATCAACGCCAAGGGAGTGTTGTAGGATTTTTGTTGGGTTTATTTGTTCGGTTTTTTAAATTACTTAAAATGCCCTCTTCCCACTGAAACAGTTTCCCTTGCAAATCTAGCGATAATATCTATCAGCTGAAGGTTAAAAAGAAGTAGATGCTTACCCAGTTACAGTAATTTCACCACCTTCCTTAGAGCCATCTTCATCTGCAAAAAGCGGAGGAAGGGTGGAGCCTGCCACCAAGTTCTCCATATCTCTGGTAAAAAAAAAAAGGGGGGGGCAAAAAAGGTAAGTTAGTTATCTCATTATTTCCCTTCATGAGCACTTCAGTTTAAATATCACAGCATACCACAGATTTTTTACCCCATAAACTAGTTAGCCAGTCATAGCTGGTTGGCCTCAGGACAGATTCTATTAGCAGCTGTGCTTAAGGTCAGAGAAGAAAGATCATAAATGATGCTTCAATTAAGAAGGAAACTCGGAATTGAACCCTGTGCTAATGCCACAGTGTTGCTGGAAATCACATTGTGGAATTCTGTTTTATCCCTTGAGACAAATTTTCATTCATCATACTCAGCACATAGGTATGTAGATCCCACCCTTTCAATCAACCTTCCTGTTCATCAGCTGTGCACCCTCACAGGTTTCTATGCTGACACCAGAAGAAAGCTGAAAGTAAGTCACACCCCCAAAGCTCCGAATTAAGATTGTATTTGATAATTCCTTGTCCACCCTTTCACAATATATCCATGCATGTAATTGAGTGTTATTGCTAAGTAACAGAACACAGCAATGTTAGCTACACTATTTTGAGCTTCGACTCCCATAGAACACTTACAGAAGCAAACTGTTTAATGCACTATGTATTTCTCATTCAATACAAACCATTCCTAAGTTAGAATTAGTTTCTTTTGTATCCTTGTAGCCTGCCATGGGAATTTGATGCAAGATTAAAAAAAAAATCCAAAGAAAAATTAAATTTATTCATCCCCTTTCTTACTAAAACATAGCACTGTGATATTGCTGCGGGGGAACAACAACAAAAAGCCTTAACAAACTCACTCTGCAATTACGAGTTACAGTTTCAGCCTATTTTATAGGGCCGTACTAGCTAACTTTCTGTTCCTTCAGTTCAGAAGTCACCTTTGATGAGCTAGCAGATATTTCAGTTGAGTACTGCTATCCCTTTCAGCTAGTACACTTGAGCTTTAAGCCTGGGGTATGTGAGTTATAATCTTGTGCTGCTTTCTCCTGGATTGGTATGCTTTCCATTCAGCATTGAAATCAAAGTGATTCGAGACACAAAATCCTGCTCCATGTTTTTAATATTATGTGTACTTTCCCACACCCCACCCCAGTTCCACAAGTAAAGGTTTTCTACAAACAAAAGTAATGACACAGTTTCTTGCATCTTATATCATTTGCAGATCCCTATCACAAGTACTACATCTGATATGGCACAAAACTTGTGCCAACAAACCACTGTTTTTTTCAGATGACATTCACCCTTTTCTCTTCTGCTTTTCCAATTGTTGAGAACTTAGATCATCCTTAAGAATCCCATCGTTCTGATTTCTTGCCTAGAAAATAATTAAAGCTAAGCAGACTGCTTCTAGGTGGTACAGACTTCTAGTGTAGAAACACCCTTTATTCATGTATAGGAAAGACTCAACCAGGGATAAAGAAATCTAATTGCTGCTTCTCCATTATAAACCATCAACTGAGTGTATTTTTGGGGCCTCAGCCTCAGAAGTGGAAAAGCTCGAGACTGTCCAGCAAAGGGCTGCCAAAATGGTCAGGAGCCTTGAGAATCTGACCTGATAAGGGATGTTTAGGAAACTGGGCTTGCTCAGTCTGGCAGAGGCGGCCAAGGGCAAATCTAATAGGTGCCTAAAAGCTACGTGAAGGAAGTAGCAGAGACCACAGAACCAAACTCTCAGTAATTATATTGGCTTTGCATGTTCAGATCGGACCCCAGGAGGGTAGCGCAACACTTTAACAGGTTACCAGCGAGGTGGCAGTGGAGTCTATCCTTGCAGATTTTAAACGCTCAAGTTACACAAAGCTGTAACTGACCTAAACTCTTGTTGGCAATAGTCCTGCTTTGAGTGGGAGGCTGGACTAAAATGACCTCCAGATGTTCCTTCCAAGCAACATCTGCAGTTCTCTGAACCAGAGCTCTACATTATGCTTTCTTCCAAATACTAATGTCTCTGACATAAAAAGGAAGAAAACTCAAATAATACAATGCTTTTAGGAAAAGTGTCAAGATACTCTGGTGGACCGTGTAAGATTTTAATTCCTAAAGAAGGAAGCGCAAACAATGCTTCCTCACCTGTAGAAAGGAATCTACATCAAGGCTGAGGCTTTATGTATTACAAAAAAACCTATGAAGAATGAGCTCTTCTGATGCCCAGAAAGCTGTTTAAGCACAGCTACTAAACATACAACATAAACCGCTTCCTGCAGTTGCCAAGTAAGAGAGTCATGAAATTTTGCTTTATGTTACACAATCTTTCAGTTTTATCAGTCGAGAGAAAAGTCCTAAATTAATATCTTCAAAAAAGGAAGCTTAAGCAATTAGACTAAAACCTTGCAAACCTATTTTTTATTTAAATAGGAAAAGCTTTACACAGGTCTGAAAAAATAAAATAGCTTGCTTCATTGTCCAGGCACCTCCAGCAGCCTTCTTGGGGTCAAGGACCTCTTCTCAGCCTCACCACATCAATCTACTGGCACTTAGCACTCCCACACACGCCTTAAAAGAATACATATCCTCTGCATCTGAACATACCATTGCCAAGTGCTTCTGTCCCTCATGGTCACTGTGACCTTCTCACCAGGTCCCCAATACATCTGTTCACATCTGGACCTAGTCAGCAGCAGCAGCGTCTAAGCTTGCTTTGAAACTGGGGGGAGGCAGCCGGACATAGACCTTCACAGCACATAAACAGAACACAAACACAGGAAGCTCGGAGAACACACACTTCAATTCTTCTTCTTCTTTTTTTTTTTTTTATTTAACCCATATGCTTTAGATACCAACTCTTTCAGTTGATACTGAGCCACATCCTAAAGAAAATTTAGCATCAGTGACTTTACAATGGCTTCTAATCTATTCCTGCAAACAAGAAAAGACAGTTCCCCAAAAGCTCTGTGAGAATGGATGCAAACCTACAAGTCTTTCAGTCACATTTCTCCTGGATAACTGTCCCATGCCTTTGCTCCAAAGCCACTAGTTTCAATGCCACTGCCGAGCTACAGGTTCATTTCAGGGATGTAACAAAATGGGCAAAACAAAAACCTGAGGAAAAGAACAGTAATGGGGAAGGAAGGGCATTGCTGCTTCTCAAATTTGAGCCTTTATAGAATTCAGCAGACTTGAAAAGGACAGTTGGCAAGTCCCATCTAGGTTTGTTCTTTATGGAGCGTTGCCAATTTAAACTCTGGCTAAAGCGCTTAAGGAGACACATTTGACTAAATTCAAGGCACAAGAAACAATGTACACTTACTTTTTTAATGGTTAACACATATATCCTATAGTACTTGAAGAACCGTGATTTATTTTGGGATAGATCAGTTCTGGAAGATGCAGCATGTACTCAATTATATTTCCTTTACAACTTTTGCAGGGTGGAGCAAAGACTACAGCCAAACCAAAGCTGTCATGCTCAGCCTTACCACCACCTGCAGTTTCCATAGAGATTCTGCTTCCATTTTAAGGACAACACTGCTCAACCTGAAACACTGTTCTCAGAATTCCAGCAGCAGACATATACCTCCCACTCTACTATGGATAAGCCGATATCATCAGCAATAAATTCTTCTGACTTTACCTTAGACCAAACACTCCAGGCTCTCCTGTACACTTATTTTACCCTCAAATGCAGACTGCACAGGAGCTTGAGATTTAGGTTTTGGCGTTTTTTCCCCTGTATTTCCTACATCCAGCATAATAGTGGTCAGCTGTGGAACAGCATTAACAACCTGACCTATAGAGGCTGGAAGTGTTTTTGGATGTCTGGTTGGGGTACACTACCAACTGATATTTAAAATGATAAAAAAAGTAAAAGAAAAAAGGCAAGTACAAGGATCAAGGAGGAAGAGTGCAAGCTTGAACTCCAGAGAACAAAGCAGCATTATGTGTGCAAATATCCAAGATGAGACCAAGAAAAACACCAGTGAAGAACAAGTTTCCTACAGTTCCGTGCTCTGAATGTTTAAACATTGATAAGATTTCCAGAGATCCCTTAGTCACCTATACTAACACTAGTTAAACTTCTTTATGAGCCTAAAGAAGATTCTACATTATCCTAAGCCAAAATCTGTCTTTATTTATCTTTTTCTTTCCCTCCCCTCATTTCTCAGGGAAAACAAAGGGCTTCACGGTCCAGAAAAATCTACAACAGTATTCTGCAACTTTCAGTTTAAATTTTCTAGCCAGACAGTTCACTTGCATGCAATGAAAGATCATGCTTAATAATACAGAGCGTACCAACATGGTTTGACAGTATTATGTAGGAAATGAAAGAGGAGCAAGAACTTACACAGCATAAAGATCCAAGTGCTACTACACACATCAATACACAGGGAAGAATCAAACAGTAGGTAATCAAATACCTTTGAAATACAGAAGTATAGTTTAAATAAACTTTCTTACTCTCTTCTCACATTAACTTTTGTAGGCCATGTCGTAATTGTAACATTATTCGAAGTAGCTGTGTTGTAGACTGAAAGCTATCATATGATCTAATTTGTAGTCACATCTGTACAGTAGAAAGGAAAAGTTAAAAGGAGGTAGTTGTAAAATCACAGGTGAGAACCAATCCATGATAGGGGCTAGACAGAATGACTGACTTTTCCACAACATCATTACTATGGTTGCATTGTTAACAATGCTATTATAGGGCAGCAGACCTAAACACATGGGTAATGCATAATCTAAAGCCTAAGATTTTTTTAAGAGCCTTTTATACATGCAATAAATGAAGGGTAAAATTTGCCAGTCAGCCTTTTCTTCAGAGAATCAAATCATTTTACTCAAACAGCAAAGATGCCATTTAAAATGTGCAATCAAACAATTTTATCTAGGAGACCGCCTCAGTTTCTTATTTTTCAAAGGAGGAGGCTAGAGTCAAGAGTAGAACATGTTCATGGCCAAATTGCTACAGCAATACAAGCTACAAGCAGCCATTCTTCTCTAACACTGTGCACTGCTGTCTCACGGCTCACCCCACATGAAGAAACAGTCTC